AAATTTTTTGAAAATTGTAATCATGATTACAAGTAATTGATTACTGTAATCGACTATGTAATCATGATTACAGCTGTAATCAAACTTTGTAATCACGATTACAAGTAATTGATTACTGTAATCAATATTGTAATCATGATTACAGCTGTAATCAAAATATTTGAAAATTGTAATCATGATTACAAGTAATTGATTACTGTAATCAAAAAATGTAATCGATTACATTTTTGGCCAACTCTGGTAAAAACAACGCAACGACGTAAAAACAAATATTCCATATTTAGACAAGAACTAACTTAACCGGGAGATTAGTTAAACTTCATTAGTTTTCATTATACCACTATATTTAAATCGCATCAATTATATTAAAAACTGACCCCCAAATAGAATATATGTTCGAAAATTTAACTTACATAAGAACATTAAAAGGTATTCCAAAGTCGAGAAATTATGTTTCGATAAAGCGAAGGCTAAAGGAACAACAACAAATAATTGAAAAAAGTTAAACTAAAACTTATTTTTCTCAGTTTTTATGAGTAATTTAAGCATCTCCGGGAATAAGAATAAAAATAACTTTTAGATCGTCAAAAATAAGTAGTTAGTTATCTCGGTTTTTACTTCTAATTGAATATTATCTAATAACGTTGCTTTTCTACGCACGAAGGTAGAAAAGGGGAGCTTTAAATTATCATTAGATATCTCAACTGATTTTAATCCCGAATGAAATACTTTACTAAAGGTATCGAAATTTTGAAAAATGTGCTTTAATATAACATCCCTTCCTTTGTAGTCCACCTATTACTTAACAACATTAATAAAGCACAAATAGTGTCACGAAAAACAGTCACACGATAGTTTCGCTTCTATAATCAAGAACCTTCCTCTATGTCAAAATGTAAAACGTTAGTTGGAAACATTGAGTAGCAGAAGAAAAATTTCAAGCAAGTTGCTACAAGGAAAAAAGTGGTTTAACCAATAGGCGATGGAGAGCAAGCTTGAACAAGATAATCATCAAACAAGGGAAGGGAGATATGAAACAGATATTGGGGATAAAGTCAAACAACTGTGATGATTCTTAGAAAACTAGTCGTGAAGTCATAGTGTATGAGAAGAGAGATTTCATGGTGCTCGATTAACTTTAATCCAGACTTCTTTACCCGAATAACTTTCAGTAAAAGTAAAACATTACTGTGAAGCCTGCATTTTACATAAATATATGTTTTAAAAAAATTCCTGATTTTAATTCCTGACACAAGAATTCTTTGCAAATTTGATTCCCCCCCCCCCCTTGAGTATGTTTTTCTTAGTTCAACAACCTCTATAACCTTATTAAAGGGAACAGCTCGTAACTCCGTTGCAAACAGCGATAACTCTATTTTTTTTTCCTTTTTTGACCAAACCGTTAACACTTCTTTCATATCTTCAATTATGAGTTCTCCAATCACATATACGTATTAATATTCATACAACATACTTCATAAATAAAATTTAATATATCCCTTCAAATGAGAGAATGCTTCCGAACAATATTCATAATTCGAAAATTTTGTAAAATAATCAAACTATATATTTGAATCAGTGCCGTAGCGAGCTTAACTCGCGCCCGGGGCACAATACCTTTTTAGCGCCCCCCCCCATTCGAAAACCATCTAATATTATAAGTAAAATATACTCGCAAAGTAATAAATAAATAAAGTTGTTGTTGTTGTTGTTTAC